AGAGAGAAGAGAAGAGAGAGAGAGGGGGAGAGGGAGAGAGAGAGAAGAGAAGAGAGAGAGAGGGGGGAGAGGGAGAGAGAGAGAAGAGAGAGAGAGGGGGGAGAGGGAGAGAGAGAGAAGAGAGAGAGAGGGGGGAGAGGGAGAGAGAGAGAAGAGAAGAGAGAGAGAGGGGGGAGAGGGAGAGAGAGAGAAGAGAGAGAGAGGGGGGAGAGGGAGAGAGAGAGAAGAGAAGAGAGAGAGAGGGGGGAGAGGGAGAGAGAGAGAAGAGAAGAGAGAGAGAGGGGGGAGAGGGAGAGAGAGAGAAGAGAAGAGAGAGAGAGGGGGAGAGGGAGAGAGAGAGAAGAGAAGAGAGAGAGAGGGGGGAGAGGGAGAGAGAGAGAAGAGAGAGAGAGGGGGGAGAGGGAGAGAGAGAGAAGAGAGAGAGAGGGGGGAGAGGGAGAGAGAGAGAAGAGAAGAGAGAGAGAGGGGGGAGAGGGAGAGAGAGAGAAGAGAAGAGAGAGAGAGGGGGGAGAGGGAGAGAGAGAGAAGAGAGAGAGAGGGGGGAGAGGGAGAGAGAGAGAAGAGAGAGAGAGGGGGGAGAGGGAGAGAGAGAGAAGAGAAGAGAGAGAGAGGGGGGAGAGGGAGAGAGAGAGAAGAGAAGAGAGAGAGAGGGGGGAGAGGGAGAGAGAGAGAAGAGAGAGAGAGGGGGGAGAGGGAGAGAGAGAGAAGAGAGAGAGAGGGGGGAGAGGGAGAGAGAGAGAAGAGAAGAGAGAGAGAGGGGGGAGAGGGAGAGAGAGAGAAGAGAAGAGAGAGAGAGGGGGGAGAGGGAGAGAGAGAGAAGAGAGAGAGAGGGGGGAGAGGGAGAGAGAGAGAAGAGGAGAGAGAGAGAGGGGGAGAGGGAGAGAGAGAGAGAAGAGAAGAGAGAGAGAGGGGGGAGAGGGAGAGAGAGAGAAGAGAAGAGAGAGAGAGGGGGGAGAGGGTGAGAGAGAGAAGAGAGAGAGAGGGGGAGAGAGGGAGAGAGAGAGAAGAGAGAGAGGGGGGGAGAGGGAGAGAGAGAGAAGAGAGAGAGAGGGGGGAGAGGGAGAGAGAGAGAAGAGAAGAGAGAGAGAGGGGGGAGAGGGAGGGAGAGAGAAGAGAAGAGAGAGAGAGGGGGGAGAGGGAGAGAGAGAGAAGAGAGAGAGGGGGGGAGAGGGAGAGAGAGAGAAGAGAGAGAGAGGGGGGAGAGGGAGAGAGAGAGAAGAGAAGAGAGAGAGAGGGGGGAGAGGGAGAGAGAGAGAGGGGGGAGAGGGAGAGAGAGAGAAGAGAAGAGAGAGAGAGGGGGGAGAGGGAGAGAGAGAGAAGAGAAGAGAGAGAGAGGGGGGAGAGGGAGAGAGAGAGAAGAGAAGAGAGAGAGAGGGGGAGAGGGAAAGAGAGAGAAGAGAGAGAGAGGGGGGAGAGGGAGAGAGAGAGAAGAGAGAGAGAGGGGGGAGAGGGAGAGAGAGAGAAGAGAAGAGAGAGAGAGGGGGGAGAGGGAGAGAGAGAGAAGAGAAGAGAAGAGAGAGAGAGGGGGGAGAGGGAGAGAAGAGAGAGGGGGGAGAGGGAGAGAGAGAGAAGAGAAGAGAGAGAGAGGGGGGAGAGGGAGAGAGAGAGAAGAGAAGAGAGAGAGAGGGGGGAGAGGGAGAGAGAGAGAAGAAGAAGAGAGAGAGAGGGGGGAGAGGGAGAGAGAGAGAAGAGAAGAGAGAGAGAGGGGGGAGAGGGAGAGAGAGAGAGGGGGGAGAGGGACAGAGAGAGAAGAGAAGAGAGAGAGAGGGGGGAGAGGGAGAGAGAGAGAAGAGAAGAGAGAGAGAGGGGGGAGAGGGAGAGAGAGAGAAGAGAAGAGGAGAGAGAGGGGGGAGAGGGAGAGAGAGAGAAGAGAAGAGAGAGAGAGGGGGGAGAGGGAGAGAGAGAGAAGAGAAGAGAGAGAGAGGGGGGAGAGGGAGAGAGAGAGAGAAGAGAAGAGAGAGAGAGGGGGGAGAGGGAGAGAGAGAGAAGAGAAGAGAGAGAGAGGGGGGAGAGGGAGAGAGATAGAAGAGAAGAGAGAGAGAGGAGGGAGAGGGAGAGAGAGAGAAGAGAAGAGAGAGAGAGGGGGGAGAGGGAGAGAGAGAGAAGAGGGAGAGAGGGGGGAGAGGGAGAGAGAGAGAAGAGAAGAGGAGAGAGGGGGGAGAGGGAGAGAGAGAGAAGAGAAGAGAGAGAGAGGGGGAGAGGGAGAGAGAGAGAAGAGAGAGAGAGGGGGGAGAGGGAGAGAGAGAGAAGAGAAGAGAGAGAGAGGGGGAGAGGGAGAGAGAGAGAAGAGAGAGAGAGGGGGGAGAGGGAGAGAGAGAGAAGAGAAGAGAGAGAGAGGGGGGAGAGGGAGAGAGAGAGAAGAGAAGAGAGAGAGTGGGGGGAGAGGGAGAGAGAGAGAAGAGAGAGAGAGGGGGGGAGAGGGAGAGAGAGAGAGAAGAGAGAGAGGGGGGGAGAGGGAGAGAGAGAGAAGAGAAGAGAGAGAGAGGGGGGAGAGGGAGAGAGAGAGAAGAGAAGAGAGAGAGAGGGGGGAGAGGGAGAGAGAGAGAAGAGAAGAGAGAGAGAGGGGGGAGAGGGAGAGAGAGAGAAGAGAAGAGAGAGAGGGGGGGGCGAGGGAGAGAGATAGAAGAGAAGAGAGAGAGAGGAGGGAGAGGGAGAGAGAGAGAAGAGAAGAGAGAGAGAGGGGGGAGAGGGAGAGAGAGAGAGAGAAGAGAGAGAGAGGGGGGAGAGGGAGAGAGAGAGAAGAGAGAGAGAGGGGGGAGAGGGAGAGAGAGAGAAGAGAAGAGGAGAGAGGGGGGAGAGGGAGAGAGAGAGAAGAGAAGAGAGAGAGAGGGGGGAGAGGGAGAGAGAGAGAGGGGGAGAGGGAGAGAGAGAGAAGAGAAGAGAGAGGGAGGGGGGAGAGGGAGAGAGAGAGAAGAGAAGAGGAGAGAGGGGGGAGAGGGAGAGAGAGAGAAGAGAAGAGAGAGAGAGGGGGGAGAGGGAGAGAGAGAGAAGAGAAGAGAGAGAGAGGGGGGAGAGGGAGAGAGAGAGAAGAGAAGAGAGAGAGAGGGGGGAGAGGGAGAGAGAGAGAAGAGAAGAGAGAGAGAGGGGGGAGAGGGAGAGAGAGAGAAGAGAAGAGAGAGAGAGGGGGGAGAGGGAGAGAGATAGAAGAGAAGAGAGAGAGAGGAGGGAGAGGGAGAGAGAGAGAAGAGAAGAGAGAGAGAGGGGGGAGAGGGAGAGAGAGAGAAGAGAGAGAGAGGGGGGAGAGGGAGAGAGAGAGAAGAGAAGAGAGGAGAGAGGGGGGGAGAGGGAGAGAGAGAGAAGAGAAGAGAGAGAGAGGGGGGAGAGGGAGAGAGAGAGAAGAGAAGAGAGAGAGGGGAGAGGGAGAGGGAGAGAGAGAGAAGAGAAGAGAGAGAGAGGGGGGAGAGGGAGAGAGAGAGAAGAGAAGAGGGAGTATAGACTTAACAGCCGAAAAGAAGGTAGAAAGAACAAGCAAAGGGATGCTACTCCTTGGTACATGCATGTTATCATTCATGTTATGTCTTATCATTATCATTATTATATCTTATAATTATCTTTATTAACAATGATATCAACATTTCCAATATCATTTTATATTTTTTTATTAACTTTGTTGCTATGATTATCACCTTTATTATTGTTATTGTTATTGTAATTTTGATGAATGATTATTATTGCATCATAATTACTGTCATTGCAATTGTAATTGTAATGACAATTATCATCTCTATTACCATCGCCATTATTGTTAAAGTCGATATTAGCATAACTATTGCTACATTGTTATCAGTGTAATAGACAGCCCCACATCCGCAGTGAACAGCCTATGAATTCTCCGGAGGAACTACAATACCCGAGCTGCTGCCCTCTGAACTGCACAGCAAGCAGCTGTTACATTGATGAGATTTAGCTATATCGTTTTCGTGTTTATGTCGTTCGTGTAAATGCCGTGCGATGTAAGTGTTATCACATCTACTCTTGTGGTAAGCCTAAAAGATGAGCCAATTTTCCTGAAACACGTCAGGTCCGTAATGGAACATTATTGGTTTTGGTATTTAGGTCATTTGAAAAATTTATGCCGCCCGGGGACCGAAAAATAAACAAAAGATGGGAAGTATTGCGATACATATCGATCGATACTTTTGCATTGGTTTTGGTATTGCCTAAGCTACTCAATAAAAAAAATCATTTTATTGATATCGTTAGGGTGCTCTTCCCAAGATGTATCGACAAAATCGACAGATTTACAGAACGTTATCTCTCTCTATCTAGCTCACTCTTTATTTCTCTCTCTCTCTTTCTTCATTTCACTCACTCTGATCTCTCTTTCCTCTTCTCTTCTCTTCCCTCTTCTCTCCATCTCTCTCTTCCTCTTCCTCATTCTCACTCTACCCCCACCTCGCTCGTTCTATCTACAATGTCGCTCAAGATAAGGCAGGGGACTCTCTCCTCTTTTCCTTGGTAATAAAAGGACGTCTTTTTAATACTCGCACCTGTCACTTGCAAGTACAATTGTTGTTACTGTGTTGTAGAAGTCATCAAAATACCCACGCATCATGCTGTAACGGTCTTCGAAGAATTAATGGATCGGAACCACTTTTGCCAATTATCAAGCGTCGGTATCGCCTTAGACAATTTTGAGTATCGATGCCTTTCACTGGTAAACAGACTTACATTGCAGATGGAAAGTAATCAGAGATGTAGTAAAACAATCGTTATTTTATGTTGTTTTCCAAAGCTGAAAACTGTTTAGCGAGAACGACTTTCTTGCCAAATTTGCCGTAAGTTCATATTTTAAGTAACGAATTCTAATTTACTGATCTTGCACATGGACAAGTTATTTTCATTACGGTAATTAGGAAACAATTTTGGTTAACGAGAATCGGCCATACATTCTCATTTAAATATATTTCATGCGTGTTTGTGTACAAGCGTCAATGCAACTCATACATGGTGGCACTTATATATGTGTAAATATCTATCGCTAAGCTCCCTCCCGAGCAGGTCAGCGGCGAGCCTGATTGGCCAGCAGGAGGTGGGTTTGCCGTTCACGTCGGAGCCTTTCGTCATTGCTTGCCGCGGGAAATGCAACCGGAAAACCAAGGTAAAATTCTATCAAATCATGTTTTAAGTCATTTGATGGTAGCATTCGTTGGTGCCATGTATATTATTTTTTGGTTGCTGTTAGGTCATCTTCAAGTACAGTGAGAGAAATTTGGGGAGCCTTTCAGAGACGTTTGCTGAAAGAATAAAGGAAATCCATCTAGGAGACCAAGGTTAACTGCTTAAACTTTTAAGGAAGAACCTGTTATTGTGCCAATGAAGAATATATAATGCGTACATATATGTATGAATCTATATATATATATATTTTCTCCACAATCACAATGCACTCCAGCAACGGCCAACAGACTACTTCGATTCTTACTAAATTCTATGGAAATAGAACTGGGAGAGGTTCCTCGTTAGAGGATGAATTACCAGCAGGTATACAAGCTCAGTTTTGGCTGAAAGGTATTTTTTCGCAATACTTTCAGATAACCAACTGTGACAATTTTGACATCGGTGGCTTCCTCCCACTCTGTTACGTACATATGTAGGAATCATCCCACATAATCTCGCTCCCAAAAAAATGAAAGATCATTATATAATCATATAATGAAGATAATAGCTCACCGTATTGCTGAATGCTGAGGGCTGTTTGCCCAGTGATCTCCCCAAGGGGGGCTACTGCCCTCTACCCCCTCAAAGAAACCTCCATGTATTCACAGCAGGATAGAGTTTACGACTTATATGCGGGGCAAACATGGTGATAGATAACCTAGAAATTATAAAGGACTAACCTGATTGATAGATGCCACTGAGGTGGGAGAGTGCTCAGCTCTGAGTGATTCTCTCATGCTGTATTCTGGTGTACATAAGTGGTGGATTCTTTGTCTTTGAGGGCAGGGGCTGGGAGTGGCAGCCCTTCAGGGGGTGGGGGGCACAGGGGGCATTATATATTGTCACTAATGGGGGTTGTCACAGCATAATTTTGACATATTTGGATTGTAGAAGGTAAGAGGAATCCATCAATACCAAAATTGTAATCAATTCAGGTATTCTGTAAAATAACCTCCAGCATATATGTGGTGGAGCTCTGTTGACCATTCTTGGAGTGCAGAGACCACAGCATCTCTTGATGATATGGTCAACTTGTTTCAAGAATTAGTTGGCTTCTGTCTAAGAATTACCAGGATGAATTGCACTATTATTGCACCAGTCTTTGTACTTCATACTTCAACATAACAAATGCTGCATGGAATCAATGAATGTGATTTCTAAGGCGGTATGGCATTACCATTGGAAATTAAAAATACAGAACTCACTTTATATAGTGTTGAG